GTTCCAATTCATACACATTATATACATGCATCAAAATATCACATGTGACCAGGTGTGGTGGCTCACGCCTGTAATCCCAGCACTTCGGGAGATCAAGGCGGGCAGATCATTTGAGGTCAGAAGTTCAAGACCAGCCTGGCCAACAAGGTGAAATCCTGCCTCTACTAAAAATTCAAAAAATTAGCCAGGTGGGTATCAGGACCCTGTATTCCCAGCTACTCCAGAGGTTGAGGAACAAGAATCGCTTGAACACTGGAGGCAGAGTTTACAGTGAGCTGAAATCACACCACTGCACTCCAGCCTCAGCTATAGAGTAAGATTCAGTCTGAAAACGTTTTTTTTCCATGGCTCACGCCTGTAATCCCAACTCTTTTGGAGGCCGAGGTGGGCGGATCACTTGAGGTCAGGAGTTCAAGACCAGCCAGACCAACACAGTGAAACCCCATCTCTATTAAAAATACAAAAATTAGTCAGACATGGTGGTGCATGCCTGTAATCCCAGCTACTCCAGTGGCTGAGGCAGGAGAATCACTTGAACCCAGGAGGCAAGGCTGCAGTGAGCTAAGATCTCACCACTGCACTCCAACCTGGGTGATGGAGTCAGACTACGTCTCAAAAATTTTTCATATTGGTGTAGAATGGGATCTTGCTATGTTGCCCAGACTGGTCGCAAACTCCTGGGCTCAAGTGATCCTCCTGCCTCTTCCTCTCTAAATTCTAGGATTACAGATGTGAACTATTGTACCCGACTAAAACAATTTTTTTTTTTGAGACAGAGTCTAGCTCTGTCACCCAGGCTGGAGTGCAGTGATCCTGGGCTCAGGTGACCCTCCTACTTCGGCCTCTGAGTAGCTGGTACCACATGTGTGTGCCATCGTGCCTGGCTATGTTTTGTATTTTTTGTAGAGACAAGGTTTCGTCATGTTGCCCCGGCAGGTCTCAAACTCCTAGATTTAAGCAATCCACCCACATCAGCCTCCAAAGTGCTAGGATTACAGGCATGAGCCACTGCACCTGTGCCCAGACTAAAACAAATTTTTATAGCTGAAGTAGGATGATGTGGGTTTGCAGGATTATGCACCCACCATGAAAAATCAAAAAAAAAATAAAAAAAAAAAGAAGAAGGATTCTAAATCAGACTCCAGTGCATATCAGCTCTTTAACCCTGGACCACTAACACCACGCTTGGAGCGCTGGGCTCTTCATCTATCAAATGGAGATTAAAACACGAGCAGGACTGGGGTAAGAATTAGAAATAAATTAAAAATAATACATGTAGGCCGGGCGCGGTGGCTCAAGCCTGTAATCCCAGCACTTTGGGAGGCCGAGGCAGGTGGATCACGAGGTCAAGAGATCGAGACCATCCTGGTCAACATGGTGAAACCCCGTCTCTACTAAAAATACAAAACATTAGCTGGGCATGGTGGCGCGTGCCTGTAGTCCCAGCTACTCAGGAGGCTGAGGCAGCAGAATTGCCTGAACCCAGGAGGCGGAGGTTGCGGTGAGCCAAGGTCGCGCTATTGCACTCCAGCCTGGGTAACAAGAGCGAAACTCCGTCTCAAAAAAAAAAACAAACAAACAAAAAAATAATACATGTAAAGTGGCTGATTCTATTATCCTAGTTATTCCTTCTCCATAGGGCTGCTGTCAGGATTAATGAGCGAGAACATAGGACAGGGCTCTGGACGCATCTGCAGGCCCTATCCCTGAGGTGCGGCTGCCGTCCTGTCTCCCGGCAGCAGGCTGGAGTCGTGGCTAGAAGCTCTCCCACTGCCCTCCTCTGCTGATTCCCACGGGCTCACCTGTTTCTCCGGCGTGGAAGAAGTAAGGCAGCTTAACACCATCCTTGGCGGGAATCATCAGCGCTTTGTCATAGTAGTGCAAGGAGTGGCCAGTGTCCTCATGTCCCACCTGCAGGACAGAGGGACAGGAGGCGTCTGCGGGGCGCGTGCCTCACTTGCTGATGGCGCCCTTTGTAGCCCGTGCACACCCTCCCTTGTACCCTGCTGCCACTGCCGGGACCTTTGTCATGCAACCTTTTAAGAATGGCAAGGAGCGGCCAGGCGCGGTGGCTCACGCCTGTAATCCCAGCACTTTGGGAGACCAAGGCGGGTGGATCACGAGGTCAAGAGATCGAGACCATCCTGGCCAACATGGTGAAACCCCGTCTCTACCAAAAATACAAACATTAGCTAGGCATGGTGGTACGCGCCTGTAGTCCCAGCTACTTGGGAGGCTGAGGCAGGAGAATTGCTTGAACCCAGGAGGCGGAGGTTGCGGTGACCCGAGGTCACACCATTGCACTCCAGCCTGGATAACAAGAGCGAAACTCTGTCTCAAAAAAAAAGAAAAAAAAGAGTGGGAAGGAACATAGTTGAGAAAGAAAAGAGAGCTCATTTGTCCCCTGAAATAGTTCCTCCATTTTCTTTTCTTTTTTTTTTTTTTTTGAGATGGAGTTTCACTCATGTTACCCAGGCTGGAGTGCAATGGCGCGATCTCGGCTCACCGCAACCTCCGCCTCCTGGGTTCAGGCAATTCTCCTGCCTCAGCCTCCTGAGTAGCTGGGATTACAGGCACGCACCACCATGCCCAGCTAATTTTTTGTATTTTTAGTGGAGACGGGGTTTCACCATGTTGACCAGGATGGTCTCGATCTCTTGACCTCGTGATCCACCCGCCTCGGCCTCCCAAAGTGCTGGGATTACAGGCTTGAGCCACCACGCCCGGCCTCGAAGTTCCTCCATTTTCAGAGTTTATGTCTTGTATGCCCCCAGCCCCTTCCACCCTGGCTCCTCACAGCACCTCCCAGGCCCAAGTGCTTCAGCCCTGAGCCTGAGGTGGGCAGGGAGGGAGGAGAAGGAGAGTCAGAGGGAGACCTAAAGAGACCTAGAGACGGCCAGGCGCGGCTCAAGCCTGTAATCCTAGCACTTTGGGAGGCCGAGGCAGGCGGATCACGAGGTCAAGAAATCGAGACCATCCTGGCCAACATGGTGAAACCCCGTCTCTACTAAAAATACAAAAAAATTATCAGGGCATGGTGGCACACGCCTGTAGTCCCAGCTACTTGGGAGGCTGAGGCAGGAGAATTGCTTGAACCTGGGAGGCGGAGGTTGCAGTGAGCCGAGATCACACCACTGCACTCCAGCCTGGCACCTGACGACAGAACAAGACTGTCTCAAAAAAAAAAAAAAAAAAAAAGAGACCCAGAGAGTGTAAGACAAAGAGAGAATGAAAGCCCGGCCCCAGGAGTCAGAGGACTCCAGCCACCACTGCCAACCACCTCTTGTAGGCCCCTGTGTGTGAGTTTCCCTCAGTTTCTTGCCTATAACAGGAAGAGCAACCACACTAAAACCATGCTTTTCAAAGTAAGCTACACACAGCCGTGGGGCTCCATAGCTGAGTGCTTTAGGATTAAAAGGGCACCTTTTGGCTGGGTGCAGTGGCTTACACCTGTAATCCCAGCACATTAGGAGGCCAAGGCCTGGCCAACACAGCGATATCCTATCTCTACTAAAAATGCAAACATGAGGACCAGCGTGGTGGCTCACGCCTGTAATCCCAGAGCTTTGGGAGCCCAAGGCAGGTGCGTCACCAGAGGTCGGCAGTTCGAGACCAGCCTGACCAACATGGAGAAACTCTGTCTCTACTAAAAATATATACACACACACAAAAATGAGCTGGGTGTGGTAGCACAGGCCTGTAATCCCAGCTACTTGGGAGGCTGAAGCAGGAGAATCGCTTGAACCCAGGAGGTGGAGGTTGCAGTGAGCTGAGACGGCGCCATTGCACTCTAGCCTGGGTAACAAGAGCAAAACTCTGTCTCAAAAAAAGAAATGCAAAAATGAGTCAGGCATGGTGGTGGGCACTTGTAATTCCAGCTACTCAGGAGGCTGAGGCAGGAGAATCGCTTGAACCCGGGAGGTGGAGGTTGCAGTGAGCAGAGATCGTGCTATTGCACTCCAGCCTGGGCAACAGAGCGAGATTCTGTAGACCCTCCCACCTTGCCCCCCCCCCGCAGTTCTGAGATTACAGGCATGAGCCGCTGCCCTGGCCTAATCTAGATTTTATTTTTTGATGGAGTCTCTCTGTGGCCCAGCTGGAGTGCAGGGGTTGCTCCACCCCCTGAGTTCAAGTGATTCTGCCTCAGCCTCCCAAAGTGCTGGGATTACAGGCGTGAGCCACTGCGCCTGGCCAGCGCCACCGCTCTGGGTCTAGAGTCTTAATGAGATTAATGAGCTTTCACCTAAGAAATCTGTCCTGGCTGTGCTTTGATTTGGTGGGAGGGTGTGGGACAATGACAACACCTATGAATGCGCAGCTTCGAAAACAGGTGTGGCTGGGCATGGTGGTTCACACCTATAATCCCAACACTTTGGAAGGCTGAGGCAAGTGGATCATGAGGTCAGGAGTTCAAGACCAGCCTGACCAACACGGTGAAACACTGTCTTTACTGAAAACACAAAAATTAGGAGGCTGAGTCAGGAGAATCACTTGAACCTGGGAGGCGGAGGTTGCAGTGAGCTGAGATCGCAGCACTGCACTCCAGCCTAGGTGACAGAGTGAGACTTCGTCTCAAAATATATATATAGATAAGGAAGAAAATGGAATAGAAAAGAGGGCAGGGACAAATATCACTGCCTTGAGTATTTGCAAAGAGCAGGCTCCATCCTGGACTCTGTTTCCAGATATTATTCCCCACCCCCCACCCTGCATGCTACAGGGGGCAGTGAGGGTTTTCAGAGCCACACCTGGGTGAGCAGTGTGGAATAGAAAAAAGGGCACAGGCAGGGCCATGGGGAATGAGACCATCACTGTCGTCAGAACTCCCTGAATGCCATCCTTATTCTGGAACTTTCCTTGTTAGCCAACTGGCTGCTCTCCCTTCTCCAGTGACTGCCATCCTCCGCAGGCCCCTGAAGAGGATCAGCACTGAGCTCTGAGCAGCCCTGCTGGGCAGGCTGAGCCTGTCCCTGCGATTTTAGGGGTACCAAATGCACATCGCTTTCCCGTCCCAGGGAGCTGCCACTCCACCCAGACAGGCATCCCTGCATGCACCCTTAACAGGCAGCCCTTGTGTTCACAGCATGGGTTACCAGGTCGAACCCTGCCACCACCGTGGGGAACTTGGTCCGGAGCCCCATGGCTGTTCGGATGGATTCTGCGATGACAGTCACATCTTTGGATCTGCGAGAGAGACGGAAAAGCCAGGAGACAGTGCCCAGCACGGACAGAGAGCTACACACCCCAGAGCATGCCCTCTGTGTGGGGCTGGGCGGCCCTGAGTGCACAGCAGCCGCTTCCCAAACCTGAGGCACCCCTGCTCTCCTGACCCCACCCCGACCGGGCCACTGTGACCCCAAATCCATTCTTCTTCTTCATTTTTTTTTTTTTTTTTAAATGGGGTTTCACCATGATGGCCAGGCTGCTCTTGAACTCCTGACCTCAGGTGATCCACCCACCTCAGCCTCCCAAAGTGCTAGGATTACAGGCGTGAGCCACCGCGCCTGGCACAAATCGATACTTCAAAGACAACTGCTGGCTCTGGGGGGACCTGTAGTCTTTGAAAAGTAGGTGGAGTCAGAGGACCCACGGGAACAGTCTTCTTTGTCTGCATTCGGAGGAGGCAAGTGGCCTTGTTCTCAACTCTCCCTGCATCTCTGTGAGGGGGCATGGACGTGGATGCCGTTCAGGGACAGCTGTCTGTCCACTGGACACCTGCAAAGGGCCACAGGTCACCCAAGTCCCTGTTGAGTTGACTGGACCTGGTAACCATCTGGCCTCTTGCTGATTACATCAGCAGGACCCTGGGCACTGCAGAAACCCTACCAGGGCAAGGCAGGCAGCATGACATAAAAACCCCAAAACAGGGTCTGGCGCAAGCCCACAACAGGCTCCAGGTCTCTGCCCTGCCACTGACTCTCCGGCTCCAATCCTTGGCTCTGTGGGGGCAAAGCCTTCCTGGCCCGCTCCACCCACGGCCTCTCCCTGGAGCCTAGGCGAACCTGGAGGCACTGGTGCGCTCAGCTTAGCCCTCACACCCTCCTGCCATTGGCCCTGGCAAGGGGCAGCTGGCACGAGGGAGCCGCTGAGCAGAACCTGGGCCCATCCTGCAAGCTCCCTCCTAGGGGGACGGGCACACAGGCCAGAGCTCAGCTCCTCCGGGGCCCAGGCCCCCTGGAAGGGGAGGGGACTCAGAAGGACTGGGCTTGGGAGGAGGCTCCTGGCGAGTCAATGCCCTCCACAGCCCAGGCTTGTGGGTGGGTGGAGCAGAGGAGCCGCCGTGCTGATCCTTTCGCTGCCCACCCTGTGCCTGACTCTGAGTGACCCCACTGGCTGCTGCCCTTGCGGCTGTGGCCACAGACAGGTCCCAGCCTTAGACTGGCTGCTCTTTAAAATGAGGGGAGAGGTCCTGTCTGGTAAAGTCAGGACGCTGAAGCTGCAAAGCTTTCTGTGCTTCCCTGGGAAAAAGAGTGGGTCTTTCACCCACGTGCCAGGCCACGCACGTGGTCCTACTGGGGCTCTCCATATGCAGACCTGAGCCGGTGCCACTCGGGACGTCTCCCTGATCAGGGGCTCACACGCAACCGAACGCAGAACAAACTGAAACCAAACAATGGGCCAATTATCCAAACATTCAGGCTAAACCATTATACCTGAGTCACCCAGGCCGACATGGAGTCACAGCCAAGACTTATCTGGGAAATTGACACGCTCTTCATTTCGGTTTGGTGGTGAAGACCTGAACTAGGAGGGGCTTCAGGACCCATCCCTCCTACTGTCCTCACACACAGAAAGCTCCTTGGCACCCGTGCTGGGCGGCGTCTCCCGAACTGCCACTCCCCTCTCAGCCCAGCAGCTCCGCCTGCCTCCCAGTCTCCCAGCCTCAGCTCCTCAGCAATGTTCTCTCTCACCTGTCATCCGAATAAATGATTTTGATTCCAATAAACTCGGGGTGAGTTTCCACAAACTTCTCAGCCACTTCCTGGTAAGTCTTCACGGACCACTGTACGTCATGCCGCTCTCCACTGAGTTCGTATACCTGGGAGGGAAGCACGGCCAGAAGCCATCAGGCCAGCGGAGCGAGGCACCTCTCCCAGCCACCCCCTCCCAGCCACCCCTTCCCCACCACCTCTTTCCCAGCCGTCAGCGAGCTCTGGGAAAGTAGACGGGGACAGGGGACCCACAAAACTGTTTTATTTGCTTGTGTTTGGAGGAGCCCAAGTGGCCTTCTTCCCAAAAGTCCAGACAGGCTGGAATTGCGCTTCCCTTGTTCAGGTCCTCTATGGCCTCAGATGTCTCGGCTGCTGCATGGGGAATTCCTAGCTGGCTCTGGGTTAACACTGATGGCTGCCTGTCTCCTTCACTGCTGGGTTACTGCACTTAAAACAGCACCTGGGGCAGGCTGTGGTGGCTCACGCCTGTAATTCCAGCACTTTGGGAGGCCGAGGCAGCAGATCGCTTGAGGTCAGGAGTCAGACCAGCCTGGCCAACATGGTAAAGCCCCTGTCTCTACTAAAAATATAAGATTAGCCTAGCAGGGTGGTGCATGCCTGTTAACCCCAGCCCCAGCCACTGGGGAGGCTGAGGCAGGAGAATCACCTGAACCCAGGAGGTAGAGGTTGCATTGAGCCAAGATCACACCGCTGCACTCCAGCCTGAGTGACAGAACAAGACTCTGTCTCAAAAAAAAAAGAAAAAAAAGGACGAGCATGGTGGCCCACGCATATAATCCCATCACTTTGGGAGGCCGAGGCGGGCAGATCACGAGGCCAGGAGTTTGAGACCAGCCTGGGCAATATGGCGAAACCTCGTCTCTACTAAAAATACAAAAATTAGTTAGGCTAGTGGTGTGGGTCTGTAATCCCAGCTACTTGGGAGGCTGAGGCAGAAGAATCACTTGAACCCAGGAGGTGAAGTTGCAGTGAGCTGAGATCAGGCCATTGCACTCCAGCCTGGGTGACAGAGAAAGACTCTGTCTCAAAAAAAAAGGAATTTCTGCAGAAACTGTGGGGTGAGGGGGATGGGAGCAATAATAGGGAGGTGTCGGCTGGGCACAGTGGCTCATGCCTGTAATGCCAGCACTTTGGGAGGCCGAGGTGGGTGGATCACAAGGTCAGGAGTTCGACACCAGCCTGGCCAAGATGTTGAAACCCCGTCTCTACTAAAAATACAAAAATTAGCTGGGTGCAGTGGCGCGCACCTATAATCCCAGCTACTCAGGAGGCTGAGGCAGGAGAATCGCTTGAACCTGGGAGGTGGAGGTTGTGGTGAGCCGAGATCGCGCCACTGCACTCCAGCCTGGGTGACAGAGTGAGACTCTGTCTCAAAAAAAAAAAAATATGGAGGTGTCGATTACTTCCATGACCATCAGTTAAGCCCCCATGATGTAAAAGAAACAGTGCTGGGCATTGGAAGGGATGAAAAAGTGCTAACAGTCAAGATGGCTGCCCTCAGGAGTGACAATATAGTCAGATAGACTTGTGCCACCAAAATCAGCTCACACGTGTAATCCTGGCACTTTGGGAGGCCAAGGCAGGAAGATCACTCCAGCCCAGGAGGTCAAGACGAGCCTGGGCAATGAGTGAGTCTCTGTCTCTAAAAAGGAATGAAAGAAAACAATAGAGTCAGTTCTAAAGAGAAGCACATGGCCTCCCAGAAGCAGCAGTTTGTGGAGACTGGATGGGGTCAGAGAAAGTCGCTAGCCCTCACCGAGTGAAGGTGGCTCCACACAGAGCCAAGAGCTGCCTGGAAGGGGGCTGTGCAAGGAGCCGAGGTTGAGACCCTCGGTGGGAGCCGGAGCTGTGCCCTTGCTAAGGAAGAAACACCTTCCTCCTCACTGGAGTCAGCTCTTGCCTCTGCGGCATCTCAGGAGCTGGGTCCACCTCCTCTGCTCATGTCTTACCTGCCCCTTGCCTCACTCCTGCCTCCCCAGCCTGGGGGCCTCCCACCTGCCTCCAGGCTGCAGCCATCGGGTACCCTTTGTCTCTGGGCAATCCCCCATGCCCGAAGAGCAGCCCTGCAGCTCTCTGATCTCCAGGGTGCCGCCCTGCTGCCTGGGCAAGGCAGTAGGGGAGCAAGCTGCGAGGTCTCTGCTCTCCGCTGGTGCTTGCTCTTCTGTTTCCTCTGCTGCCCCCAGGAAGCCCCGCACGTCACACAGCCCCCACACCCTGCACCTGGCCAGGGCATTGGGATCACTCTGCTCAGACAGTTTCCCTGACTGCCTGACCTGGCACAGACATGCTCGGGGCCACTGAACACTAAGGCTGCCAGAGCGTCCCAGAGGGGAGAACCTTAGGTACTGTTCACTCCGAATCTGGTATTGTCCATTATTCGTATTATTATTTACTGAAGGGGGTCAGAATATGTCACCCCAAATAGGCCACTTTAGCAGAAGGACTATTTTTAGCTGAAGGCAATTAAGAAGCAGCAAATGAAGAAAGAGCTCCTTGCCCACGTCAACGTCATCTGCCTCAATTTCCCTTTGTGAAGGTGTTGACCTTCCCTCTCCTAGTACCAGGAGAATCACCATTTTCATTAGAAACAGAAAGCTGTCACCAAGATGGGTCCGCACAAACCAGCCTTGCAAAATTGCCCTTATCTCCCATGAGTTTCCCCCGAATGTTTACCTGCCCACAATTCACTCTCCCTAAAAGCCCAAACCCCTTTTCCTTCTTCTTCTCACTTCTTCCCAATTTATTACCAGTTGGTGAAATGGAATATAAGCCCCCAGTCTAACTTCTTTGAGTCATCCCACCTTTTCAAGGAAGGCCTCCATCTATCTGAGCACATAACAAATGTTTAGGCCAGGCGTGATGGCTCGTACCAGCCATTCCAGCACTTTGGGAGGCGGAGGTGGATCACCTCGGGCAGATCACCTGAGGTCAGGAGTTCGAGACCAGCCTTCCCAACATGGCGAAACCCCATCTCTACAAAAAATACAAAAATTAGCCGGGCGTGGTGATGGGTGCCTGTAATCCCAGCTACTCAGGAGGCTGAGGCAGGAGAATCACTTGAACCCGGGAGGCGGAGGTTGCCCTCCAGCCTGGGCGACAAAGCAAGACTGTGTCCCTGCCCCCGCAAAAAATTAAACTTTTATTTTTGCAACAGTCTTGCTGTGTCTTCCAGGCTGGAATGCAGTGGCGTGATCTTGGCTCACTGTCTGTTTCACTCTTATTTTCTCATGGATACACTGTAGAATTTTCCTGAAGCCACATCATGTGTGATATCATTCTAACTAATAATGGATTATGTGCTTGTATTTAGAAAATGTCTCAATTTTGGCCAGGTGCGGTAGCTCACACCTGTAATCCCAGCACTTTGGGAGGCCGAGGCGGCCTGAGGTCAGGAGTTCGAGACCAGCCTGGCCAACATGGGAAACCCCATCTCTACTAAAAATACAAAAAATTAGCTGGGCATGGTCGTGGGCACCTGTAATTACAGCTACTTGGGAGACTGAGGCAGGAGAATCACTTGAACCCAGGAGG